CGCGTAACTGCGATGAAAAAATCGCAGTTGCGCGTAACTGCGATAAAAAAATCACAGTTACGCGTAACTGCGTCGCAGTTTTTCGCAATTACGGGTCACAGTGCGATCGCAGTTACGCCGTAACTGCGACGCAGTTTGACCGCAGTCGAACACATGGGAGAAATCAAGTTATAGAGAAAACGACTTTCTGAGGCTAAGTTAAGCCGAAGAGTTGAAATGTGAGGTGTAAACGCTCCCAAATCCTATTGTTTGAGCAGTAGCCAATGGATTTCAACGGTTTATAGAAAAAGGTTTGCAGGCAAATTTTTATATTCAGACATTCTAAGATGACCGATTTGTCTCATTCACTTTTTGAAGTACACATACTCTCGGATATAAATCCGAGATTTCCGCATTTATTTTATTTTGAAATCGACATTAGTCTCTTGAAAGATACAAAATTTTGAATATGTTTCTATTTATTAAAAACAAAAACAAAATTTTTATAGAATAAATTTTAAATAAAATTAATCGAATGATTTTATGATAAGTTATTATGCATTCTTTTCTCCAATTCTTTTAGATTAAAATATACATGGAGAATTTTGCCATATCTCAGCAGTGACGCATTGTTTTAATTAAATCAAAAGAAAAATATTTTACATTCAATTGCATTATTCATTTAATGAACATCAAATACATTTAAATCGAATATATTTTTTGAGAAAAGTGATCTCATTTAAGGGATATTGTAGTTAAAGATCAATGAGTTAAGGTTACCGCATTAAGAAAAAAAAAACATTGATTTGTACTTTTTTAAGGATAAGTTCTACAACAACTATGTATTGGTCATTGAATAAAGCAAAAAAAGATAACGCGTACGCCTGATTGAGCCAACTTTTATTTTTATATCAGATGCTTAAGAATAGTTTTGACATCTGATGTTATGTTAATTTGATGCAAAATATTTTGCTGTACAAAACTGTCAACGTTATTTTTCAAATGAAATTTTCTCATTTGTATAAAATCAAGACAGTTAACAACTTTTCATGGAAAAAAAAATTTCATTGATTTCACAGTATCTTCTTCAATGTCTGTAGTTCTAGATGTATATTTCCGAATTATAAACAAGAAATTCTTATCGATGATAGACAAGCGTTTCATGGACAATAGTTTCCTCCATTTTTTCTTATTTAAGAAATCAAGAAGTAAATTAGTCACAAATCAGTATGGTTATAGGACGATGATAAATTATCCAATGGAAAAAGTTGATCATCATCATCATCATCATCAATATGTTCGACTATTTGATCAATACTGTAATCTATGAGTGATTGAGCTGTTGAACCCAAACATGTATTATATTCCTCGACTAAACCAAGACCAGGACGTAATATTTCATCTAATATCCTAAGAAATAACGCATCAGTATGTTGAATAATTATATAAATGATACGAAACATACTGCATCAACTGTCGATGAATTTGACCTAATTGATCGTTCCACTTTTGATACATATTCGTTAATGTTTGTAATTTTTGTAGCTGTTCTGTATTTAATAGAAACCCTTGTTGGTGTTTGACAGATGCCATAAATTTATCTATCTGCTTCTGAATTTCTTCCATTTGTGGTACAATATGTTGTAGTTCCTCTTTCATCAACGGTACATCTTTTCGCATAATTTGTGTAAGATTTCTTGAAAGTTTAGTCATGTTGGAAACTAATGGCAACGACAGACAAGATTGATCTATGATATTCTTGTATTCCTAAAAGTGAAATTTAGATTCAATAAGATGGCAGTAGTATATTTAAGATTTATGTAGTTTTCAACTCTCAAATTATTTTCTTATTCTTCAATAAAGACGAACCCGTATTTTCTTATATTCTTCAGTTGTCTTAATAATAATGGATTGCATTTTTCGAGACATACGACGAATTGTAGGCAAAATACGATCATGTATTTCATAATAAGTTTTCTCGTGAACCATATCTGGCAGATTGGAGAGGACCGATTGTATTGTTATCTCGTCAGAGGAGATTAACTTGATGATGAACAATAAGAAAAAAAGATAAAGATGATAAGAAGACAACATCTTATTGACGGAAAAAATGAGAAGAAGCTGCTATTTATAAACGATACATTTGACTGACAAACAATGTCCGACTATACGCTATTATTTCTTTATATGGACTGAAAAATGATCCGAACGAACGGACGAGAGAAAAATATTCATATGCTTCTTCTTTTTCATGATTTCTCTTCATATTATCCCTATTTTGTAGATTTTTTTTATTTCGCTCACTTTACTGTTATACTCAGAAGTGTTAACAAAAAAAATATGGTGAGCATTCACAGCTGTTCAATTAACACAATCATGAGCGAAATAAGCATACAGAAAGAAGCACAAAAAAATTTATAAAGTGCCACGTTTGGTAAATAACGAAAAAATAATAATAATAATAAGAGGAAAAAACAGAAAAAGAAAAGAAAAGTAAGGTGCAAGCAGTTCGAAGTTCAACTGAAATTCTTTTTTGCATTTTTTCTACATCATTTGATAGAACTTGAGCTGCTGATCACGAATATCTACTTTTTTGCCTCAGCAAATATTTTCTTCCAACCGAACAATATAAAATACTCAAAGGATGTCATTTTTTTTCAAAAAAAAGCACATCTTTTTGAAAAATGTGGAAAATTTTCTGCTTCCTTCTTGTTTTAAGCTTTTAAGAATAATTTTTTCAGATTCTGCATGAAAAACTGAATATAAAACAAATTGTTAAATCGACTCTAGTCCCAAAACTGTATTAGTGATGGCGCTTCAAATCGCATCGTGTACACTATGTATAGGTTAATTTTGTAAACCTATCTAGTTTCCTTGTTTACATGAAAATGGCAAATGTTTTATCTCATTCGATTTATCATATCATCAGTTACAAATTTACGTATCCTTTTTTTTTTCTTTCCTGTGTTGAGAAAACTCGTTTTTACTGGTACCATAGCCATTTCAGGCAGTATTCAACAGGTTTTGAATTCAAACAAGAATTTTAATCTGAAACTAAATACAGATTCGAAAGGGTGTGGGTGTGGGTGTGGGTGGGTGCGGATGTGGATGTATCCTCTGAGTATCTATATCCAGACCCAGCCCGACACC